GTTGTGGCAGAGTGGCCACGTACATCTTAAAAAAGAAAGGAAGAAAAATGAAGACCAGACTTTTTTTTTTTCTTCATGGAAGAACCTGGGGAAAGGGAAAAGAATAAAGAGGAATGAAAACACCTGGCCATGCTTACACATACTTCATCCAGATTTGCTTTTCTGTGCATATTATCTTTTGTCTGCCTCTGGGGAACTTGAGTCAGCTGTCATTCTGGAAGTCCAAGAGGAGCCCGAAGGCCAGCATCGCACTATTTATTCCATGGCGTGTTGCCTATAAGCTAGCTCGCATAAATAAACAGTATTACGACGTTCCGCGTGTGGCCCATAAACGGAAATGGGGCGTTCCGAGAATTGAACTCGGGACCTCTCGCACCCAAAGCGAGAATCATACCACTAGACCAAACGCCCAGCACATATGATATGAGCGTCAAAGCCCTTGTTACAGAGAACGGATTCCCTCCGAGAGTGACGAGCGGGGTGCTGTTTGATGTGGTTTGGAGGGAGATGTGGAGATGGTCAGTTTAAACAGCCAGTACTTCCTAAAATCGTGCCCGTTAACGCTACACGATTTTAGGAAACGTAGGGGCCACTACAGGAGCGCCCAAATTCATCCAACTAGAAACGTTTCTACTCTATTTTTTTTCCGGGGCCGATAGCTGGGCCAGGTACTGGTGGTTTAAACAGCCAGTACACGACCCCAGCCGTGCAAGATTTCCTCATCACCTACTCCTAAAATTTGAAGGCTCGGGGCTACCGAAGCAGACTGGCTGGCAGCGCCTGTGGCTCCGCCAGGCCCGTGTGCACAATGGTACAGGTTGGAGAATTCCCTCCGAGCGACCAGCAGGGCTGGCAGTGCCAGCCAGAAAAAGGAAAAAGTGCGCCGCTTGCAGTTCAGCAAAGCTGGGCGCGCAGTGTGGCGCCACCAGGCCCAGGTGTACTGGTGGTTTACGCTACTTCAGAAAACTGACCCGTTCCAGAATCAATCCCACCAAGCCTAATCTCTGGATTTGTTCCTCGTTCCATGGGCGGTCTGTAGGGTCCTAGTTCAGACAGACATTGACCGTGGATTGTACTAAGTCTCACTCTCATCAACCGTTCCCATTCCACGGGTGAGCTGTCCTAAGGGGAGCCCTCATCCTAAACCCTCCCGTGCCTAAATTGTGGCTTGCTAACGGCCACGACTTAAGGAAGTATTGTTGGTTTAATTTAGCGCAAGGGAAAGAGTGTTCTAGCTGGGGTTTGGGTATAAATGCAAGTTGGGTGCTGGGACTAGGTATAAAGGGAATGCCCATCTTTAAATAGGGTACAGATTCAATTTCCCAAAGAAAGGAAACACACACACACACACACACACACACACACACACACACACACAGAGAGAGAGAGAGAGAGAGAGAGAGAGAGAGAGA